ATTTCCTTTAAAATACAGAGTTTGTTTAAACTCCAAGACCCTTTAGGAACTTTTGTATAGGTTGGCGTTTATAATTCTAATTTGATAAGGTAAATTATACGTAGTTAGACATGTAAATCTGAAGTGTTGCGAAATATTCAAGTACTTGGATATTACAAATTCTGGTTCTTAGTTTAACACGTAAATTAAGCACACGACCTTAATAGAAATAGGCTCAATAAAAATCATTTATAAAATGTGCAGGCTAAAACAGCAATGTGGTTGACTTAAGCAGGTAGATATTAATTATGTGTGGAAGATATAGCCCCAATTCTTTCTTTTTTGGAATGAATTAAAACTCATTGATCATTGATAAACTTAGTGCTAAGCACTACGTACTGAAAATATACTTCGTATTAATTGAACCCCAAGAATAACATTAAGACTTACGCTCCTCAATCTTCACACCTTCATCTTCTTTATCGGTGCAATCCTCTGTCCGCATCAACTTCTTGTGCAATCCCTTTTTTGCTGTCCACCGAAGCTGTCTTGGTTTGATCAATCTCCTTAATCACAGATCACATTCCAAATTTTCAAAGAAATATTTTGTGTCTTATACAATTAGAGTTCTGATATGCGAATGAATGCTAAAAACTTCTTGCATCCACATTGCTTTTATAGCCGAAAGTCCATTGCAACCTGTTAGGAGTTTGGAAAGAATCAATGAGCTTCACTATTCCCACCACCCAATTAAACCAATAGAATTTAAGTGAACAGTGTCCACCTCTATTTTAACCAATAGGAATATATCTACCTGAGCTGTACGAACTGATTATGTTTTGACATAGCCACCTCTTTTTTAACCAATGGGAATACACCCATTGAAATTGTGACTATTCCCACCTCTTTTTTGACCAATCAGAACACAGCATGATACTACCCTACCCTGCGCAATACGTGATTGCCGAACACAACACATATTATTCTTTTGAGTAATATGAAATCTTTACACATTTCTTTTGCAATTATTTTTTATGAAAAATAAAAATAAAACTTGATGTTGACATTTTTGGGAGGGAACCCTATTCATCAAAAAAGTGTGCTTTTATATATTAATAGATTTAAGGAGAATGCGTTACTTTTTAATATGTGGCATGTTGAACTGCTTAAATATACTAATAATAATTATTGTTTACTATTGAATTGACATCAATAGATTACTAATTGTACTTCGTAACACTTTAATAATAGATTTAATATGTTGCTAGTAATAACGATTTAGTATATTTTGTTAGTCTTTGATAATTTTTTGTATTAGGAGACATGCACGGTAATTTACCGATACCGTGCCGTTACCGAACTAAAACTTCGGTATACCGAAATGCGGTATACTGAAACTTTGGTAAGGTAAAGGTATGCAAATTTTGCATACCGAAAGTTTTGGTACGGCAAAAGTATGAGAAAAAATATAAGGTATACCGTACCGAACCGCCCCTAGTTGAAATTACTGACCATTTTATTGAGATAGGAGTTTCTCTTCTTGCTTGAGTGGTTGAAGTTACTACTTTTCATATAATTTTTTAATATCATATTTTAAATATAATTTAACAGAATCAACGATTTATCAACCTATTGAGCCAAATTTAATGTCACCAAATGAGCTCATAATCATTAAAACACAATGCACTACAAATGGACAATATAGTACTACTTTTGCCCTCCTAATATTGGGGTGGAGGGGAGTTGTGTGATTTAAAAAAAATAGAAATATGTGATTGATAATAAATTGATAAAGTGAGAATAAAGTCGCACAAATGTTGCTATATATGTATATATGGTATGAGATAATAATAGAGAGACATCTAAACAATGAAAAACGAAACAATTATAGAGGACTGAGCGAGAGGGAGTATTCCATATTCCTCCCACAATTAAATCTCATACGGAGTAAATAAATTATGCAATGGATTGTTATGTACATAACATTGTGAACCCCAATCTATCACCTGACATGAAGTTTATATATGCAAATATATTTTTATATATAGTTTCTTAAATTTGATAGATATTTGGTTTTTATCTAGGGCACCAAAATAACTGGCGACGGTGGTTCAGCATATCCAGAGATTCTCTTCACAAATATGCACTGTCAATTGTCAAATAGGGAGCGAAGCATCTGCCGAACAAAAAGCTATCCACTGCAATGGCCTGAAAACTTAGCTGAGGTCCCTATGAGTGTATATTACTCCATTCACCACGTGGCCATTTCCTCTTCCAATCCTGACCACACAAAATTCCAAATTTCATAAATCATTGTTCCAAAAAAGGTTGAATCGCCAACCCCAAGCGTCCCCCACGCCCCGACCCGACAGGACTTTTTGGGAGGATGTAAGTCACGGTGACTCAGTCAGTAGAGTGACAGTAGGCCCATACACCCTTGCGCACCAGAGGCCCAGCCTTATTTCAGGTTCTGTGACCTCCACTTGGTCGCTGCGAGGATTCGAACCTTGGTCATTGTTCCAAATTTCCTACCACTCAACCAACTGAGCTACCCGTGCGGGTAAATTTCATAAATCATTAACTACCGAGTATGAGACTATGAGATATGCAATTGGAAAGTATATACTATTTGCTAGATTCTATGGTACCCATAAGATACCATAACTTTGTCCACATAAATTAATGAGAATGTTGCAATTGATTAATTTTAATCTAAATTAGAAATGATATAATGATGTGGACCAATCAAGTTGATAGAAGGTAAGGTACCCCATCTTCTAAATGGATATCGGAGCTGTCACCTAATAATTTTATCCCAAAATATGCTATTCCCACCGTCCTAGAAATATCTTCCTACTTTCTTTTCTCGTCCATCCAAAAAATGTCTATTCTTTTCCGTTTTGGCATAGAATTTGTGATTCACAACAAATTTTACATATTCTTACACATTTTTGTCTCCTCCACACAATTATCCATCACACAATACCCACTATCTTAATTTGTGTTATTTGTACTATCTTGTGACAGAGGAAGTAAATAATACTAGTAATGACCCTTAGGTATCAACTTCTCTATTGACAGTGAACTCTTCAAGAGTTACATTTACTAATTTACCCCTCAAAATAATAAAAAATACTCAAAAGCTACAAAACAAACACATTTTTTTTAAATTCAAAAGATCGTTTACATGGTATCAAGAGTTTGGACTTTTTTTTTTGAAGGAAAATGAATTAATTATCATTAATATTATCAATGTTCCGTACATGAGTAATGAAAGAAGGGGGATAATCATTCCAATAAATGCAATTAGACAAAGAACAAGTGACTTGAGCCAGCTCGTGAGCCGTCTTATTCGCTGATCGCCGAATGTGAGAAAAAGATATCTCCGTAAAACACGACCTCAGCTCCCTAATATCCTCCGCAATGACTCCAGCCAGAGATTCACTTGACCCGTTAAGAACTTCTGAGACTGCCTTGGAAGCATCGGATTCAACGTCGATGAAGTCCCAACCTCTTTCTTTCACCTCACTAAGAGCTTCCCTGATCCCGACCAGCTTTGCTCCCAACGGGGCTAGCTGGCCACACCATAAATTCGAAACACCAGTCACAAATTCTCCGAATTTGTACTGATCAAGCCTGCCCAAACCACTGCGAATCCCCTTGACTGCAGCATCAACATTCAACTTCATCATGTCTTCTCCAAACCGAAGGAGGGGTTGGAGCATGTCTGCTCTTCCCACCATCCACTTGCTGCACCAAAGCCCAGTTTGTAACATAAACTTATGGCTTTACCAATATTAGTTTAGCATCAGTTCTCACTCCTGTCCAGACCCTGTTATTTCGTTCGCACCATAAGCTTAGCAACCCCATACCAATTTACACAAATCCTCATGCTTCTTGGAAGCAAATTCAGCCTGCACTTGCTCCAGAAAGGAAGCCGCTGCACCCGCCACCCACTACCATTTCACACCTCACCATGCTTCTTTAGCCACCGGACAAGAACAGAAGAGGTGGAGCAACGATTCATCAGCTATTCCGCAAACAGGGACGGATCCAGGATTCTGAGTCAAGGGGGGCGAAATTTTTCGTTAGTGTAGGGGGTGAATTTTTTTTTATTAGTGTAGCGGGGTGAAATTTTTTTTCCTAGCATAGCGGGGCGAAATTTTTTCGCTACTGTAGGGCTATGCGGCTATTTTTATTCAAAAAATGACATTAATACCTGCACATCCCGAACGACATTTAAATCTATTACATTCTAAGTTTAGACGATGACAAAGACATCAACCAATACATTTTTAATAACTTCTACATTGTTTAACCTCATGAATCGGTTATTCAATTGTAATTTTTGTCCACCAAGGAGGGTGTTCGTGAGTCATGACTCATGAGAAGTTTTCTTAATATTACAATAGTAGTATACTAGTATGTATGAGATTGTTATTTTTGGAATAATATGCACCACATACACACACACACACACATATATATATATGGTGCATATTATATTTTAATATTTTTATTAATTCTATAATAATTTAGAGTTTATTATCCATGCAATAAATTATTTTTAGAAAGCAAGAAGTAAATGAATTATGTAATCTAATGTCTATAAATATTTATATTTTGGATTCATTTCACGTGATCTAAAAATTGTGTAATTAGTGTGTTTGGTATTTAATATTGTTTGATATATGTTTTACGAAATCCAGTACTTGTTATCTAATAAAGATAATTAAACATTACAAAACTAGGAATTCTTATATAATAAGTATCCTAAATCTTAAATAACGAGTTACTCTATTGTTTATTTGTTTAAGTTATGTAAATTAGTTTAGATGTTTCTTCTTTTAAATCTCCAATTAAGTATTACATTATGTAAGACCATATATATTAATTTTGAAAATTAAAAGCTAAGGGGGGCGAATCTAATTAAATTATGAAAGTTTTATGAAAATATTACATATATGGTAAAAAAAATTGAATGTCCAAGGGGGGCGGTCGCCCCCCGCCCCCCCTAAATCCATCCCTGTCCGCAAAGACCACAACTCTCAGCATAGTTTACCCTCATCAGCCTCAGATTCGCCATCGTCGGAAGAAAACCGCAGCACACTTGCCAGAAAAAATTCTTAATTTTAGGGGGCAAGCTCCACCCCCACATAGCTGTCCAACCTGACCAAGCTCCATTCGTCATTTCTCCTGCCAAGAACTGGTAGCAGCTGCGCACAGAGAACCTTCCAGACTCCTCCCATCTCCAACAAACCTTATCGGGGACCCTCCTAAAACTAATCAGGATCCCCTGTATCAGTTGAACATCCCACTGCTCAAAGATATCTAATAGCAAATCACGATCCCAGGTTAATCCATCTTCACTTCTAAGGCTATCCACAGTAGCGTGCTCCAGACCAGGAATAGGGGTCGAAGACACCATCGGGAAATTTCTATCAGGGATCCACGGATCATTCCATATATTAATAGCACTCCCTTGTCCAACTCTCCAATAAAAGCCTTGTCTGATAATGTCTTGTGTTTGAAAGATACTCTGCCAGACAAAAGATGTGTTATCACCAAGTTTAGCAGATAAAAAGTTCCCATCCTGAAAATATCCGGCTTTAAAAACACTCCCAACTAATGAGTCCGGGGAAGTAAAAATCCTCCAAGCTTGCTTCGCCAGCATGGACAAATTAAATTCCTGAAGCTTCTTAAAGCCCATTCCACCCACTTTTTTAGGCCGACATAAATCATGTTGCAATTGTTTCCTCAATGTTTAACTCTTTCTTGATCAACTTGGTAAGTTCAATGTCATATTAAATAGTTTTAGTCTATTTAATACTTTGCAAATTTGAGTAACACGCAAATTAATAAAAAGTGGTTTATGTGATTGATATTGGATTGATAAAGTAAGAATAAAGTAAGAATGATTTAGAGCCACACAAACTTTGCCAAATTTGGTATGTGACAATCTTAGTGGGACGAAGCGAAATGGTAAAACGGGACAATCTTAACGGGACGGAGGTAGTAACTGTTAGTTTTTTTTTTGAACTCACCTTTAAAAGAAATTATTATAGGTGTTTGATAAAAACGGAATATTTGATGTAATAATGTTTGGAATAACAAGTTGTGTAACTAATTAATGTTAAAAGAAAGAAACAAACATCTTCTTGGATGCTGTTATGAGAATAGCTTCAAAAACAATCTAGAATTTTCAAAACAGCTTTACAAAAGTTATACCAAACATACAACTCATAACTAAACTTTTAGAGAACTTTTATTTAAATGACATAAAAGCTAAAAGGCAGAAACAGTCAGTTATATGCGGCAAGCATGCAAGTGATGCAACTTAGCTTTTACCCCCTCCGTCCCATTTATATTGTCCCGTTTTACCTTTTCGGGAAGTCTCACTTAAATTGTCTCATACCATATTTGGCAAAGTTTATGTGACTCTAAATCATTCTTACTTTATTCTTACTTTATCAATTAATATCAACCACACAAAATCACTTTTCTTAATAACCGTGCCACCCTCTTCCGTCTCAATATAAATGGGACGGAGGTAGTACTAGGTTAAGCCGCAAAAAACGAAAAATAAACTACGTAGTACTCAGGATAGCCCTCTTATTAAATGTTTGAAAGAATGACGAAAGTAGGATTTCCGGCTTATGAAATGACAAAAATAAGGCCGAATCCCGTTGGTACAAAAAACTGACTAAAAAAGATGTTCATTGTCTAAAATACCCTTTAACTCCTGGAAAAAGAAACGGCCAACACCCACCCGTAGTGCAAACTCCATTAACCCTAGTTCCTAAATCGATCTGCAGCAGCGAACACCTTCCACGCCTCCGAGCCGCCCCTCGCATCTCACGTCGCCGCCACTTCCCTGCCTTCGCCGGCAACGACGCAATTTCGTTTACTCTCATCATTCTCTTCTTCTCTCTCCCTCCTGTCTGCAATGTCTCCTCTCATCTCCAACCTCTCGAGTCTTGACTGTTCCTCCGGCTTTGCTCCTACGGTGGCGATGGACCTTTGTCTTTGGTGGCAGCAGCGAGAGATATCTTCGCTGACCTCCGGCTCTGATATGGCGGAGATAATCTCCTTCAGCGGCGGCGACGACAATAAACCACTTCGGCAGTGGCAGTTTAGATCCTAAAGGCTAGGGTTCAGATCAATCGCTAAGCGGAGATTGGGGGTTGTTGTGCGCTAGTTGGGCAAGGGGCGAGGCTGGTACGTTATCAGATGCACTGGAGGAGGATGAGTGGGGCTGGTGGGAGCAGGGCGAAGGAACTGGTGGTGTACCATCGGAAAATATTGTCACTGAACGAATGTCACTGACGACGAGTCACCGGGGGTAGGTCACTGACGGCAAGTCACCGGCAGGGGCCTACAGTGGCCGGCGGTAGTAACTAACCAGTGAGCAACAGGTCACTATGCCCGCCGGTGGTAACTGACTAAATGGTCACTGTGACCGCCGGCGGAGGTCACTGGGTCCGGCGGCGGACGAAGGCGGATGTCACTGGGACCGGCGGCGGCGGTCACAGGGACCGGCCGCGGAGGTCACTGTGGACGGGGTCGGAGGTCACTGTAGCTGACATGTCCCTGTTAGGATATAATTTGGTCACTAATGATTTTTGGTCACTGGATGAATTTTGTAACTATGTCATTGGTAACTGTAACATTGGTCACTTCACATTTGGTGACTGTGACGGGTTACTGTAGCAGGCCAGTGGGTTTGGGCTTAGTAAGGGTGTAATAGTCCCTTAAGTATTATTTAGTCTTATTTTTGGAACTTAAAAGAAAAGTCTCTTTTTTTGTCCAAATGCTTTTAATTAGTATTATTTGAGGACAAACCCCTAAATGTTTAGACATTTTTGGTATTTGGCCTATAGAAACAGTAGAACTCCTCTAAAAAGGGAAATTTCCGTTGTACACAACTTTGTGCACCCCTATATTATGCTTGTGTACATAGACAATTCAACTAAAAAATGGAAGATGAGAAAGAAGGGCCCGTTGATTTTAAATATTTTGAAAATTGTCTCTATACACGTATAACTTAAGCGTATAAGGATGTTTTATTTTTGGACTGAAATTTGCTGGTTTGGTCTGGTCTGGTTTGGTCTAATCTGGTCTAGTCTGATCTGGTCTGATCTGGTCTAGTTTGGTCCGGTAAACGTCTGGTCTCTGTGTATTTTATAACTACGGAAGTCTGGTCTGATTTGATCTGGTATGATCTGGTCTAATCTGATCTAGTCTGGTTTAGTCTGATCTGGGACCGAGTCCAAAAGAAAAAGTCCTAAAGGGACATGCTAGACACTACTCTAGGACTCTCTCCCTGATTGCCTACATTTGTTTTTCTGAAATGACCATTCATCTTCTTAAATATGCTCCCTGGCCCACTTAAACCCCCATCTAGTTACTAGGCCCTAGCTTAAGGGCTTGTTTAGCAATCATCGATTAGCGGTTAGCGGATTATGTTGGCGGGTTGCAGGAAGATGTTTGATAACTTAGCGATTTTATTTTAGCGGTTAATAGATAAAAAGACAAAAAAGACATTAATCCAATTTTGGGTATATAGATAGCCAAACTGAAATCGGGCAATAAAACCCAATACTTATTATTTATAATAATAATCATGAGTAAATTGATGCACAATTCTGGAACCATACACCCCAACTCATCCACACAAACGGAGAAAATAATCCGTATAAAATTACAAGAGTGAAAACGAAGACGAATTTACCTATTAGAACTCAAACACCACAACGAAAGTAAGAATGGCCCGAACAGAGTATTTACAGAGCTCTCCCATGAGCATCAAAGTCAGGCGCATCTTGGCCGAGAAGATGACCTTTCTCGGGTCGGATCGACCCAGCTGCCAGGGGAGGAGTCGGCATTGCATCTGGGTGACAAAAGCTAAGGAAGAGATTTTGTTTAAAAGAGGGAAGGTCTGCAGAAGCTTGGGATAATTTCCCTGAAGAAGAACGGGAAGGTGCGAAAGTGGAGAATACGGAGGGTAAGATCGAAAATTAATTGCGTGTGTAGAACCCGCTGATCTTAAACGCTGCACTTTAGCGATTCAGATGAAAACGGCGGATGAAAAAGCCATCTACCAAACACTTAAATTTAGCGTTTTGACCGACAGAAAACACCGAATTCGGTCAAACCGCCAAAAATGGGCTGAAACGCCGTATACCAAACATGGCCTAAATATTGCGTAAGGCCCTAAATCAGGCCTAAGCTCCAACTTCCAAGTACATCACATTCCCTTTTTACCGCAACGTTCCATTTTTGCCACCTACATTATATTTTGCCCGGCTAAAGGGTCAAATAGGCCCTTGAACTGCCTTAAAGTGTTCAATTAGCCCCTTATATAGAAGGTTATGCCCGCAGGTCACCAATTGGGGCGGTTCCCGGTGGAATTTTTTGATTAAATTTTTTAGGCATCTTCTTCATTAAGTGTAGTTTACCCATACCAAATTTCATCTAAAAATTCAACCGGGAAGACAGTCAAATGATTTTCCGAAATGTACTACGTTGTTTAACTGCACAGTTATCTTCAAAAAATTAATTGACTGCCTTCCCGGTTGATTTTTTAGCTGAAATTTGGCATGAGTAAATTAGACTTAATGAAGAAGATGCTCAAAAAAACTCATCAAAAAATTCCACCGGAAATCGCCCCAATTGGCGACCGCTGGGCAGAACTTCCTATAATTGAACACTTAAAGTCAGTTCAAGGGTTTATTTGACCCTTTAGCCTATTTTGCCCATAGCTTCCTACTAATGCCGAGCATATAAAATCGAAATACTCTAAAAACTTACGCATTAGATTCCCCACAATGCGAATCTTAAAATATCAATTTTTTTTATATAATATCAACTTAAACATAATAACTATATTAAATAAGGGAAAATCACATATATGGTCCCTCAGTTATCCACGAAATTAAAATCTCAGACCTGTATTTCGGAGATTGTAAATGTCACCCCTCAATTGTCTAAATTGGTGTAAATGTGGTCCTTTAAGTAGTGAAATGTACTCTCGCCCACATTGTATATTTCACCCCTCAAAAGGACCACATTTACAGCATTATGGACAATTGAGGGGTGACATTTACAATATCCGAAATACAGGTATGAGATTTTAATTTCGTGGATAACTGAGGGACCATATATGCGATTTTCCCATTAATTAATGTTCAAAGATTTACACGAGCTAGTAAATTGTTAGACTTAGAGAGTGTTTGAATATAATTCCTAAAACTGATTCTGGTGTATTTGTGTGAAAGTGCAGAAGTATTTCTGGTGGTCTAATTTACTCATAGGATCAGTTATTTTAGAAGTTGGGGGAGACCAACTTCTGAAAACTGATTCTGATTTTGCTTCTGCTTTAAAAAAGAAACAGAAGCAGAATCATTTCCAAACACCCCTTCAAACAGAATGGAGGTTATTACTACATACTACCTCCGTCCCAAAAAACTTTTCCTTTTTCAAAACTTTGACCAATTATATCTTTTTATTGAAAATTATTTATAATATAAAAATCATATGAAAATGTTCTTTGTTAAAAGTACTTTCATATAAGTATAAAATTATTAACTTCCATGATATTATACTAATCAAAACCATGGTTCAATTTTTTTGAAATGACAAAATTTTTTTGGGACGGAGGTAGTATATTTTTTGTGCACGGAATTTATGCTAATAAAGCTATTAATAGAATAAGAATAAAACATGTTCCAGTTTTATAAACACGACTACTATTAGCATTTCCCTGTTGAAAGATACAACAATGCTTGATGTACCCACTCTTATACCCACCTTATACTCACCATGTTTGTGGAGGTATTTTTTTGTCTGTGAACCCGGTTCATAGACAATATTTTGTTTGTGCAAAATATTGTCTGTGAGCCGGAGTTCACAGACAAAAAAAACACTTTACAAACATAAGTGGGTACAAAAGTGGGTATAAGAGTGAGTACAAAGATCATTTTTGTAAAAAGACACTAGTATTAAAGAGAACACATGTCCACCCTGCCTCAATTAGATAATCTCATCATAAGTCTATTTTCCTTGTTAACTCCACCGCACTCTTATATCGTTTCCCTTCATTAGTGATATCGATATATTTTAATAAGCTTATAATGTTTTTATTTGGCAATATTATGTTTTCTATTTCACAATTCGATCATTACTATCACAAAAACCAATAATACTGTCACGTTATTGTCACAATAATACAACCCAAATTATTGAGTGAAAATCGTATCCACGCATGCTTGGCATTGTCAGTATTTCAATATGACACTATTCAGATTTCTATTTTACAGGCAGTATTTTGGTAGTGATACCGTGTATTTAATTTATGATTGCCATATAATAAATTTGGAACGATGGTACCATTGTTACTAGTAATCTCACCCGTGCGATGCACGGCATGAGATTTTTTTTTTTAAATTGTATTTCTGCTAAACAGTTCAAGACACTCTATTCATTGACGAAACTAAGCAATGTCATGCAATAAAGATACACAAAACGCAATACACAAAACACATCTTTAATATTATGGTGAAAACACTTCTAGTAAACTCACCCGTGCGATGCACGACATGAGATTTTTTCTTTCAAATGTAGTTGTACTCGGTTATTCAAATTACACTATCAAAAGATGACACTATATAATTACATGGCATACTGATATACATCAAATCAATAAACGAAAGACACTTAAAATATTTTATTAAAAAGAGAGCATTAAAAGATGCATTTCATGTAAGCCTAAACAGGGGCGGACCTAGGGGAGGGCCAACCCTGGCTCTGTCTAAATTTTAAAATTGTCTAAATTTTTCAGTGTAAAAAAATCCGTGTCAATTTTTTTTAAAAAAAATCTCTCTACCGGCCCAGTCTGCCCCAATGCTTTGACTACACCCCTGAGCCTAAACATTATTGAACATTTCTTTGAATACAACATTTTGAGTCTTGTAAGGACCGATCCATACAGCCCAAAACCACACAGACCCTCTGATTTTTTCTACCAAAAACAAATAAGCCCAAACCATCACTTTGTAAACATCCCAAATGACTCAATTGGGCCGGCCCACAAACCATGGCTGCACCCGAACGACCCATCCCACATAAACGATGCCAGCTCCCTCATCCCCCCTAACCCTCCCGAGATTTTTGCCGACACTCAGACCCTCTCCCTCTCTCTCTAACGAAGGACACAGACCGGCCAGAAACCAACGAAGCCATTTTCAGACAGTCCAAATCTACTTCCGGCCACAACAAACAACTAAGGATCTTCCACCGTCCCACGTTAATCCTTCATCGGTAAGTTTCTTCTTCTCACATCAGACCGTAACATGAACCCTTACATGCACAAACACCGGACCACTTCTTCTACTCCCTTTTCTCTTAACCTCAAACCACCTCAAAACACTTTCACTGGAAAAACCCACAAAACATACAGATTTGCAAGAGATTAAATCTATTTTATTTTATTTTTCTTTCTTTCCATTGTGTCATTAATTTGTAGATCTACCGGTCACAATTCACTGTTTTCTATAACATGGAACAAAAACCGCCTTAAATCCACCGAATTAAAATAATAATAATAAAATAAACCTTACATATCCGTAAGATCCGAAGGTGAGTTTCGAAAGTTTTTGCATTTTCTTGTGTTTCTAAAACGTTAATGCAAATCTGTGAGGTTTTTTATTTCATGTTGTGGTTTGTTACACTACTATAACTTGACTTTACCGATACAACGAAAACATCACTGAAATATTTTTTTAAATTCAGTTTCCCTGATTAATGTGTTCAAATCTGTCCAAAAATTAAAGTATTTTTCCCAAATACATAGTATCACATTTTGAGAAAAATAACAAAACTCACAGATAGAAGACATAAAAATACACAGGGTGGTGTGTATGCTGTTCTTAAAATTTAATAGACATTTTTGAAAAAATCAATAATACTACGTACATCATTTTTATCATCAAACTCCCAAAAATAAATATTTGATGTGATTCTTCTATCTTCGTTTCGAAATTTTATAAAAAATACGTCTTCCAGTAAGTTTTTTATCTTAATATAGTCATTTCCTGTACAATAAAAATTTCCATCTTATTTTACAAAGACCCGCTTCATAAAATATTTTCTAATCTTCCAAACATAATTTTAATAAAAATTAATAATTGTCTCAAAAAATATATTTTTATGAATTTCAATTTATATGTAACCCCTTTTTCATAATACGGCACCAGAATATTTATATGTTAATGTATTTATATTTATTGGAAAAATCCAAAAACCTCTTGCGTAATAAACTTTTAAATTGATTACTTAGGTCATTTTTACATACTAACAAAAAAAATAGGAGAAGAATCTAGACAAATAAAGAAAAGTCAGAAAATACTGATAGCTGTAATAGTGTGCCACCAAACGTATTAAAGAAACTTGCCCCACCCCCATTTAATATTTCAAATTTCAAACCACTCACCCACACAACACCTCAATTAATTCGAACCACCCGGCCACTGACCAGACTTTCATTACCTTGAGACACCCACCCAGTTTTTAATTTTTTACACTTTAGACTTTTTTTTTTGTTTATGTGATGCCACACTTTTTAAATTTTTTACACCTTTACACGTCTGCCAACATGCAGGCCACGTTGCATTAATGGTAATACAACAGTCACACACCTAACACATGCGAACAAACATGTCATGTGCCATTAATCCAAAACCATTCTGTTTGAATACAACCTCCGATATTGTCTACCCATCATTTGTCCCCAATGAAAGTGCAATAATCTCTACCCGGTATATCAAATGACAACATCGATGCAAATAATACCAAACACACAGACCTCAAAACATACAATTACAACACTATAGAAAAGCAGCAAGTGTGTGCAAAGATCATATAATAGAGGTAATATAAATTCCGAAGATGCATGTCCATGTTCAGGACTATCGTCACCTCCAAGCAGGAAAGCTAAAGGTATGCAGTTATTCAATTATTATTGTTTAATTCCGAAGCACTTTAATTATAAGCTCTTGACCTTACTGTTTTGTT